ATCTGCATTTCCTCTTTGGAGAAGTGTCTTTTTAGCTCTTCTGCCCATTTTTTGATGGGGTTGTTTATTTTTGTTGAGTTTCATCAGTTCTCTGTTTATTTTTGTGATCAATCATCAATCTTTTATCACTAGTTTTGTGTGAGAAAATTTTTTCCCAATTAGTGGGCTGTCTGTTTTTCGTAATGTCTCTTTTGCTGTACAGAAGCTCTTTAACTTGATGTAGTCCCATCTATTTATCCTTACCTTCACTATTGTGGCATTGGGTGCTGTATCTTCAAAGGTTTTACTGTGGTGTATGTTACGTAGAGTTTCATCCATCTTTGCTTCCAGGTATTTTATGGTTTCCGTTCTTATGTCTAGGTCTTTAATACACTAGGTCTTTAATACACTTCGAGTTGATTTTTGTGTATGGAGTAAGGTAGTGATCTAGTTTCATTTTTTTGTATGTAGCATCCCAGTTTTCCCAGCACCATTTGCTGAACAAACTTTCTTTGTTCCATTGTATCTTCTTTACTCCTTTGTCAAAAATTAGCTGTCCATAAACCTGTGGGTTTATATCTGGGTTTTCTATTTGAATCCACTGTTCTGTATTTCTATTCTTGTTCCAGTACCATGCAGTTTTGTAAGTTGCCTGAGTTATTCTTTAGATTAAGTCCCCATGATGTCTTATCTGGACTATCTTCTGGTTTTGTCTTACCTTTGCCCATTTAGAGCCTCTTTTTCCATTTGTAGCTAGAGTGATTAAAATGAGGACATGTTAGTCCCGCTCCAAGGTATTCCATTTTACTAAATGACTTCTAAGTGTGATACCACAGACCTATAGATCTAATGTGATCTTCCCCACTAGCCAGCCTTCTGGCCTTTAAAATTGTCCCTCTCGCTTCTTGCATTCCAGCTTCACTGCTTTCTTGTTACTCCTCAAACATACCAGTAGTCCTCCCACATCTGGGCTTTTCTGCATAATTGCATCTCCACTCGATTTATTTTCTCAGCTCCCTTAAGCCTGTGCTTAAACCTTATATCACTTTATTAAAGAGGCTTTCCCAGACCATCCATCCTGTAGAAAATAGCACTTGCTTCTATCTATCACAGTGTGTTTTCTCATCTTGGTTCACTTTTTTTTACAGCACTTGCCTGTGTATAGTATTTATGTATTTATATGTCTCTGTAGAACCCTAGTTCATGAGAGAAGGGTTTTTTTTGTTTGCTTTATGACTGTCGTTCTTTGCTGCATCCTTAGCACCCAGAATAGTGCCTGGCATATAGCTGGTCCTCAGTAAGTTTTTGTTGAGTGAATAAATTTTAAGTGTATCCCTTGGAAGGAATTTTTTTTATCAAAAGGTGTCACTAGATGGCATTGCTTTCAAGCTTTATATAATTAATGTCTTGGAGCAAAAGATGGGGTCTTTCCTCATATTGTTTTAACCAAAAAGATCTTTGGGATGAAGATTTTCAAAAGAAATTGCTATCATTGACCTGAAGCTTATATAATACATGTATATTTGGTTTTTGATTTATATTTTTCAGATAGATTTTTAAAGATTAAAATTATATTGGGAAATTTAGAGAAAAGTACAGCATGTTGGTATGCAAATAACCAATTATTTAATAGTGACTTAACATGGTAGCTATGAATAAGTTCAGGCCTTCTTTCTGTGGCACTGCAGTGGAGTGATGGAACTGCAGTTTCAAAACCTTTCATGACTCAGGCCTCTCATTGAAATTGAGCCTATTGTTGGAGGCAGAATATTATTACTGTCTTAATCTGGTTCCTAATTACTTGGGCATCCAAATTTGGAAAAACTTCCATGTTTCTGGTAATGTTGTTATACCTATGTGATTAAAGATTCAGTGGGTTCCAATTACTAGAGATTTTTAAAAAAGATTTATTATTTATGCATACAGAGCTGAGGTACAGGCCAGAGGTGCAGTAAGAGGATTCACCAGAGACAGAGCGGGGAGCAGAAGAGGCAGACTGATGAAGTCCACTGCTGAGGGGAGCAGCGGGCGAGGCAGGAGAGGTCTGCGACATGTGGGCCACCTCCTTGGTGGGGGATCAAACTCATGCTGAAGCTGTTGTGGCTAGCTTCTTAGTGCTGTTCTTTAGCCTGTTGCACCACCATGGAGGGCCTGTACTAGAGATTTTTAGCTGACTTTTCTGTGAACCACTAAACTCAGCAAAGAGTTGTGATAATCAGAAAAATTTACTCATTTTCCCCAAACCTTTGAAGTTTTCCTGGCCTGCCTTTGCTAAAGTGGTCTCTTCTTGGCTTTCATCACTTAGTGCATTTCCTCCATTTGTTCATTTTCTTTCTTTCTCAAGCTCTTCTCCTGGACGTTCGTTTCATCCATTTTGTCTTCATTCTTCAAATATCTTTTCTATTTTTCCTTACTATTAAAGTAACTTTTCCACCTAGTAATGTGTTTTCTTTTCAAATTTTAAAAAATGTACTTTTGGGGGCCCTTCATGGTGGCACAGCGGGTTAAAGCACAACACTGAGAAGCTAAAGCCACTTCAGCATGAGTTCAATCCCCAGCCCTGGAGGTGACCCATATGGTGTGGCAGACCTCTCCTGACCCACTCGCTGCTCCCCTCAACGGGATCTTTGTGGATCTGCCTGTTTTGCTCTCCCCTCTGTCTTTGGTGAATCCTCTCACCGCCCCTGCACCTCTGGTCTATACCCCAGCTTTGTATGCATAAATAAATAAATCTTTAAAAATAAAAATGTACTTTGGAAAAATGGTATTTTTTTCCTGCTTTAGATTTTCCTTTAATTTCTGGTTAAGGCACATATGATAAGCTAATTTTGTTGATATCTTTAAAATTCTCTACCTCTTAGAAGGCTTAAACTATGTATATATGAAAACATTGTTCTTATGTACTTTTGTGTAAAAATGAAACAAAAAATATAGGGTGGTTTTAGTGTTTGCAGTCCCATTTCAGGCCCCCCTTTGGTGGTTATATGCTAGGCTGATAAAAAATAATTTTATTACTTCTTAAAACTTATTTTTTATTTCTGCATACAAGAACTGGGGTGCAGGCCAGACATGTAGGGTAAGAGGATTCACCAGAGACAGAGTGGGGAGCAGAACTGGCAGATCTACTGAAACACACTGCTGAGGGGAGCAGGAGAGATGTGTTGATTCATGTGGGTCACTTCCCTGGCTGGTGATCGAACTCATGTTGTAGTGTTGGCAGTAGCTTGATTGTGCTGAGACTTCAACCCCTGTGCCATGAGGGAGGTACCTACATTTTTTTTTCGATGTGCAATGACTTCTGAGCTTTTTATTGAGGTCCCTAAAGGGTTTCCACTTCTGCTGCCTCAATACCTCAAAATTTTGGTGTTAATTGGTCTCAGACACCACTATAAAGTATCATTTTAAATTTTACATTTTAAAAGGACAGATTTATTAGGAAAAGGAGAAAAAGAGAGGCATCTGCATAGTCACAGGTGGGCAGGATTGCTGCTAAAGTAGCATTTTAAATGGAAGACTCATTTTCCTTTTAGGAATTTTTAATCTGAAATACCTAGAATATCTAATATCGCTCTCCATGCCATGTACTGCTAATGCTGACAGCTGCCTCTGTTTTCAGTTTCCTACCTTTGGTCTACCTCATGTGTCAGATCTATCTTTGAGGTCAGAATTCAGTATTTACAAAATCATTTCTTTTGTTTACCAAGGAAATATTGGGTAACATCCATTTGTTTAGAAGGTGATTTCCTGTTTACCAAGAACCCATTGGACAGCATTTATTTTGTATGTATTGTTTTATGTGAAATTATACTTCTCTCCTCTGAGACATGGGGATTATAGCTGCTGCCAGGTTATTAGAATGATAATATACTATATTTATTCAAATGTATCTGTCTCAGTCATAAAAAAGAAACTATTTTTCTTATTTACTGATCTTATAACTTTTGATCAAGTCATCATCTATTAAATAAAAATATTCCCAGAAAGATAAACATCAGCGGAATTATTTTTGCTCAATCGTCAATGAGACCTATCCCTTGGTGACCTCAGGCTCTGACCACTGACTTCTCAGAGCCTATGAAGGAGGGCTGGCTTTCGAAAGCTGTGATTTATGCTATTTTGCTCTTACTTACTCTATTGATAACACTGTCGTAATGTTCCTTGAAGCTTATGATTTTTTAATTAAGAGTCACTACAAGTTTGGCAGCATGACCCTAAGTGTCATTGACTCTGTTCACTTGTGCTATTTTTATCCCTATTATCCCGATCTGCAGACTGGTTGAAATAGCAGAATCCCGATTTCCCAGCTATTTTAACACTGAAGAAAAATTACTTTTGACAAGCAGTAAAGTTCATCTTTATCGAGAACTCAGCTGTGATGAAGTTCTACAAAGGTATGCCACTTTTGACTTTGGCATTTCAGTGATTTTTAGAAGGTTTACTTTTTGTTTTTCATGTGTCGAACTTCTGAGTGAAATAAAAGTGCCTGCACATTACGATTATGGTAAATAATTTTTTTTAGTGTTCTTTTATTTGCTACAACCAATTGATGAGGTTTTTATTTTTAAAAATGGAAAAAAATATTGAGTAAAATGTTTTAGATTTAATTAATATTTTAAGTAATGCATACTTATCATTTCATTAATAGAGTCCCTCCATAGTTAAAATGGCAAATATATATTACTTCACATAGTTTCTGAGGGCTGGGTATTTGAGGGCAGCTTTGCTCAGTGTTTGGCCCAGACGTTCTGAACAGTCAGGCTTGCGGCTGGGATGGCAGTATCTCAAGGCTCACCTGGGGCTCGAGAATCTTAGCGAATTCACTCTTGCTGTTGTTGGAAAGCCTTCCTTCCCACAGGATGTTTTGCCTCTTTATGCGGGCCTCTCCAGAGGGCTGCTTACAACGGGGTACTTTGCCTTCCCTGGTGGCAGTGATGTGAAAGAGTAAAGCAAGTGGCTTTTTAAAGGTAACCTATTTCTAATATAATGAGAGGGAGTCTAGGATAGAAGCTGAGCCATTTATGACCTATTCGCAGAAATGGCCTCTCTTTGTTAAATGCTTTGATCAATGGACCAATCCTGCTACCGTGGGGGCAGGCAGGAGATCCCTTAGAAGTAAGAGTACTGTGGAGTGAAGGAAGGCTGGGTCATTTTGGAGACTAGCCATTCCAAGTAGTTCTCTAAAATTGAAGTTTTAGTAATATCATATGAGAAACAAAGGGTGAAACAAAACAAACACGTCGTGGTCCATTTTCAAAGGCGTGCAATATGCATAGAAGAGCTGCACCTGTGACTGTAATATAGGCAAGAACAATTTGTTTTTAAGTTGGTTAATCTTTGCAATACTCCATTTTACCACATTTTCCCTCAGTGTTTCCAGTTTTTCACAAGTTTTGTTTTCACAGGATTGAATCCTTAGAAGAAGAAATTATTTCTAAAGGAGTTAAACTCATAATTATTGACTCTGTTGCTTCTGTGGTAAGAAAGGAGTTTGACACACAACTTCAAGGCAACATGAGAGAAAGAAACAAATTGTTGGCAAGAGAAGCAGCTTCCTTGAAGTATTTGGCTGAGGAATTTTCTATCCCGGTAAGTTTTTCTTTCTTTTTTTTCTCCCCTTTTCCTTTCTTTTGTTTATTAACGTAATGTTGAATAATATAATTAAAAAGGAAAGATAAAGCAAGTGGCTTTTCAAAGGTAACATAGTTCTAATTTCTATAGTAAATAACCCCATGTTTGTCTCTTTAAAAAGATTATTTTATCTTTTTTATAATTTGAGCCTCAGATGGATCTAAATGCCGTTTCTAAGAGTTCCGATGGTTCTTTCTTTTTTACCTTCTTCTTGGTTACTCTTTCTGCATTTTTTGTATTATTTTCATCACACTTAGCTAAATACCAAGAAACGAGGCACCACAAAATTGCCTAGGCCTGTTTCTATACAATTTCTTTTATGGTAGTAGTTGTCAGTTTTCTAGGTATTTTAGGTTTTGATATTATGTTATTCTAATCAGTACTGATTTATACAGTACAGCATTTGGTTTGTTTCACATCACCAGATTTTGAATTTTATAGTGTGTTCAGAGTGATAAATAATGAAAGTATCAGTAAGGAAACCTTGAAAGTTTGTTGGCATGGCTTTTAGTAGTGGGAATTATGATCATGCAATCTGAAGATGAGTGTATATTGCAAATGTTTGTGGTTAGTAAGCTCCAAAAACTAAATATACTGAGTTACTTTTCCATTAGCAGCATGTGGGAGAGTTCTACTTGCTTTGCAACTCATCAATATTTAGTATTGTTAGGCTTTTCAGGTTTAGCTATGCATCATGTCAACAGGAAAGAATCAATTCCTTAAATTGAAATAAAATTTAGTGTGAAAATTTAATTTCTAAAATTATTTGTGAATGATTTGCAGGTGTCTTTGAAAACATAGTCTTGCTTAGTTGTAACTTATAATATATGCACCAATAGTGTAAACTACTACATAGCCTTTGAGAAAACAAGGGAGAAAATGTGGCATGCAAAATTTTTACCTATTTTAACAGCTTTTTAATTATTGCTGGGATATATGATATAACTCTTGATAAGTGAAGTCCTATAAAGTTTATCCTTAAATTCACAATGGTCAGTTAAAATGATAAATCTAAATCCCTGTTACCCCGGGTCAGGAAAAATAAGGGTATTTGAGAATATTTTAGTTACTTGATTAAATGGAAAAGTTAAGTGCATATGTTTATTTTTTAATGCATGCTCGTTGCTTCACTTCATTCTGTAAAGTATAAACACTGAATTATTTAAAATTGAATTTGCTCTTAATTAGTAACTACAGGTTAATGCTTTTCAGTTTTTCTGAGATGACTTATTTTCCTTAGTGAGAAAGGGGCTCTACTCCTTTTTTTTTTTGTTTAACAGTGCCCTCGGAAAGACTAGGCTCTTAATATTCTCATGTCATGATCTTTGCCTTTATGTTTCTATTTAGAGATAAATGCGTATAGTATATACCTATACAAAACAGTGTAGTATTCATTTTTGTGGTAAATAATTGGTTTTGGATTGTTGGTGTGATGCCTGCCTGTCCACATTTGATGTCTTTTGAAAAATACTTCCATTAGCCTATTACCCTATTTATTTATTTTTAAGAGATTTATTTTTTTATGTGTACAAGAACTGGGCTACAAATGAGAGGATTCACCAGAGATGGAATGGGAAACAGAACAGATGGACTGACTGAAATGCTGACTGAGGGGAGCAGGAGTGGTCTGCTGCACCAGGGTCAGCTCCCCTGCTGGGGATCAAACATAAGCCTTACTGGTAATAGTGCTGAGACTTAATTTCTAGGCCCTAATGTTCTACTTTGAATAGGTAGCTTTATATGGAAAGAAATGTCTTAGAATATTTTGCTGTTACCTGGTTCATTACACCTTTCAAATTAGCAAACCTTTTGTCTCCTTGTAGTTCCTCAAACATGCCAATAACCATTCCTGCCTCAAGGAGCTATTCCTCACCTTGGAATTTCCCTGTTACATAACTGTATATCTATTCTTTCCTGTCACCTTATTAGTAAGGACCTCCAACAGTGTAATTACCTACACACCCTGCCTCCCCATAGCTCTTACTGTGCTTTTTGTTTCTCCATTACAGTTGATATAGTCTCCTGCACATTGTATATAGAGAATGGCTATAGATTATCTGCTTTGTTCACAGACTTGCTGTTAGCACAAGAAACAGTATCTGCACAGAGTAGGCACTCAGTACATACATTTTTTTCAATGTATGCATTAAATATACTGTTTTTCTTTTTAGACTTGAATTAATCTTTTATAAATGACACTGAGCATAAATTTTAAAATTTGCTTTTAACCCTCTTCTTATCTTTAATATTTTATTTATAATAGTAATAAAATTTTAGGCGGAAAGAACATCTTAAATATAAGGAATGTATTCAGATTACAATGGTATGTTATAGGGAGAAAAAGAGTTCTTTAGATTTTTAAACTTGGAAAAGATTTTAGAAATTTAGTAGCAGAGAGCCACGAAGTAGAAGAGGGTAGTAAATAAATGTCTAGTGGACTCTGAGGATTTTGCAGGAAACCAGCCATTCCAGTCTGATCTCTGGCTATTGACGTGGCATGGTGGGTTAGGCATTTTGATATACTCGACATATCTTTTTATTCAAATTAAAGAGTAAAACCAACTTGGGTGGTAGGATGAGTATTTTATTAAATATTAAAATTTCTTGATGAACATGGAATGCTTTTAAAGTATGGACTGAACTGACCAAAGGAAAGTCACAGAAAAGCTGGTTGGATCTGAAAATACCAAACAAAGCAGCACCAAAATATATAGGATAATAAGTAACAAACCTAAAAATAGCCACTGGCCACAACTGGAAATAGTATTACTTTGTTTTGTACTTACTTGTTTTAAGACTTTCAGATGCTAGTGAAACCATTCTCATTTTGCCCAGTTAGCTCATCTAGGCCAACACTTATTAGCTTTTTCTGTAAAGGGCCCAACAGTAATAATTTCAGCTTTGTGGACCACACAGTCTCTGTGGTCCAACTCTGTCCATGTAGTGTGAAAGTAGCCTATAAACAATTTATAAACAAAGAAGTATAGTTGTGGTTCAGTAAAACTTTGGTTGCAAAAACAGATGGAGGACAGATTTGATTCACAGGCCAACCCCTGGTCTGGACCGTATTATCTTCGCCCTCCACTCTGGACCTGGGACTGGCGCTACCATAAACTACCAGTTTAAGGAATTGAAAGAAATGGAAAAGGGCAGTCTGCTCATGAAAGCAGACTTTTCTCAAGCTATTTTAAGGCATTGACCTTGTTGAAAGTTTTATTCTTATGAGTCCTGATTGCTGACTTCAGTTTTATAATATCACAGAAATATGTAGAATTATAAAGCGAATACTTCTGAAACCATAAAAGTGGTTGGATTTACAAACAACATAGTACTATTCAAATTAATTACTCTAATATTATAGATGGTAGTTTGTTAAATTAAATTATTGCTTACACTATATTTTAACTTATACACAGATTCTTTGGAATTTATATACATATACTTTTGTTCAGGTAATGACTCAACTTTCCCACCTCTTTTCTGTGTTTGAGCAACTACAAAACCGTCTTCTGTTGGGGAAGGGTGACATCATTTGGCCCTCACCTGGGCATGAATGCATTTATGTTTGAAGTCTGCCATTGCTTGTTTCTCATTAGTCCCTGATGATTAAAGTGGTACTACTTGGCATTACTTGATTTAAAACAGACATTAACATCTTGTGGCAGTTTTCAATTATAAAATGCCTATACTAATATTTTGATATCATCATTTATGTGAAAGCATAAAATTTAAATATTCTCAAAATTTATAGACCCTTAAATATAGACTACAGTTTGAAAAGCACAGTCATACCAGTCTTTCAGAATCTTTTTCCTGAAGTTAATGGTGGGGGGCGGGGGTATAGGGGAACACTCTCTTGTTGGATGTAAGATGCGGAACCTTTGTCTTTTAAATATATGTTCCATGTTAGTATTGGAAAAAACAATAGGCCCTGAAACTGTTTACAGATGCCTGATGAAAATAACATAAGAGAAGACTTTAAATGCTTGTCAGAAATAACTTGTGATTATGGTTATATTGTCTATTGTGGACTTCTAATTGATATACACAGAACAATCATTGTGCATATTGTAATTTATATATTAGATTAAAAGAATAGGATTTTCTTGCTAAAAAAGGATCTTAAAAGATCATCCACTTCATTTTACAAAGGACACTGAGACCAAGTGGTGACCTGAGTTGTTCAAGAGCACTTGGCATAGAAGGGGTCAGATGCTAAGCAGAACACAAGATCTTTTGGATGCCAGTTCTGGGACTTTAATTTTTTTTGTATTGTAAGATTATATATATTTTTTCTTGAAACCTATAGAACAAAAGTGAATTGTGAACTTCTTAAGGACAAGAATGTCCTTAAGAATGTCTTGTATTCATCTGATTTCTAGAGCCTAGTACTGCGAATGAGCAACATTTAGGAAGTATCAACCGATAATTACAATTATCAAATCATTGTGTTATACATGTGAAACTAACATCTTATTTGTCAATTATTTAAGAGTATATTTCAGACCTTAAAATAATAACAGAGTATTATACTAAATTGAGAATCTGCAAAGAAGAACTGAAAGTAGTTTTCTTTCTTGAACTGAATAATTTGTTAAAAGATCATAAATCGGCCCTCTCTGGTGGCGCATCGGGTTAAAGCACAGCACTAAGAAGCTTAAGCCACTTCTGCATGAGTTTGATCCCCGCCTGCCCGGGAGGTGACCACATGGCATGGCAGACCTCTCCTGATCCGCCCGCTGCTCCCCTCAGCCGTGTACTTCGTCCATCTGCCCGTTCTGCCCCCCACTCTGTCTCTGGTGAATCCTCTCACCCTCCACATCTCTGGCCTGTACCCCAGTTCTATATGCATAAATAAATAAATCTTTAAAAAAAAGATCAAAAATCATAGATATGGAATTGTGGGACTTTTACCTGGTGCCTAAGTGAGAAGGACCTGATTTTAAAAGTGTTGTGAA